AAATATAAAATTTAAAAAAAAGTAGAAACAGCAGTAGAAGTAAAAAATTAATAAAACATATAAAAAAGGAAAAAAAATGTCGCAAATAATGGAAAGGAAATAAAAAACAACAAAATGTCAACAAAACAGAATAAAATAAAGAATACAAAATGTTTCTCTATTTTATTCAATAAAAAAGAAATAAATGGATAAATAGATAACTAAAACCTGCAGAAATTTTTTTTTGATTAAGTAAAAGTACAGCGCAAATTATTGCTTAACACAAAGCTTTATTTTTAAAACAAAGAAGACTAAAATTGCAGACTTAAGAATTATTAAGGAAAGAAAAAAAAGTTTTTTTGAAAATAAAAAACAATAAAGAATAACAAAAAATGCATAAATAGATAAATAAAACGTGTAAAAAACAACAAAATGTCAACAAAACAAAATGTTTTTCTATTTTATTCAATCTGTTCTCTATTGATAACAAAATAGAGAACATAATACAACTTTGAACTCAATAAAAAAGAAATAAATGGATAAATAGATAATTAAAACCTGAAGAAAAAATTTTTTTGATTAATTATTTTTGAATATATTTAAAATTAAAGAATTTGAAAATCGAGAATAAGACAGAACAAAAAACAGCAACAATAAATTACCAAATTACCGAAAATTGGATTTTTGACTTTCACAAAGTAAAAAATAATAATAATTAAAACTTGCCAGTGTTGTATTAATTAACAAAAAAATTAACACAAAGCTCTGTTTTTAGATTGGAAATCGAAAAAAAAATTACATAAAATGAAATAATTTTTAATTTTATTAAATTTACAAAGAAGAAAAAAACACATATTTAATTATTAACGAAAAAAATAATTAAGTATTAAAAAAATTAGAAACAGTAGAAATTGTAGAGTTACTTATCGTTGCTAGGTTTTTGTCGGATTTTGGCCAATAAGAAATAAAAACCGGTTTGTTCTCACCTTAGTGGTAATTACGTGAATAGGAAATGATTATTATTGGTCCTTGTAATCGAAATTAACAAATGTGTCCAACCAATCAAATTCAAGATTTTGCAAAAACCTCACCGATTATCCATAAAAAACTGTTTTAATATAATTCGAATTTGCCTTGAAAAAAACCGCAAAAATAATGAATTTAAATTAATTTTTCCAATTAGCCACGAAAAATTAATATTAGATAAGGGACTCTCGTCAATTTTTTTCTTAGTGGGTTCCAAAAAAATTCAGATTAAAGCTTAATGTGACTAAAAAAATTTCATCAAA